AATGTTGCAGACAACGCACGGCATATCAAAACCAGCTGGAACAGGGCACAGCTACATGTACTACGAATGAACAAAGAGTGGAAAAATCCCATAGTCATCATTCATTTTGAAGTTTTTTGAAAATTTCTGAAGAGACTGATGCCACCTGAAAGAAATTTGCCAACCTGAAAGACCTATTCCTCTTGTTTTACAAATTTAAGATCCACTTTGGAACGTTCAAGTAGAGTTTGAACAAGTAAGGTCTTATGCTACTAATTATGGTAATAAATCAGTAATTGGCCTCCGCCACAATGACACAGATTTTTATATATTACATCATAATTGATTTAAAGTTATATTTTTATAATATATATTTAACGCAAAGTAATTTAATGCACATTGAACAGTATCAATAAACTGATTTCAAGATTTATTTCTTCAGTATGGGCTGCAGGTGCAGCTCTACAAAACAGGCATTTCTTGTGAGAACGACTGAATTGTTGTAATTTTCACATCAACTATGGCCCCAAGTGTTCTGCTGAATAAATAAAAACTGGGCTTTTAATGACTGTGAGATGCTACCTCCCAGGTTAGCCAGGCCAGGTCAGCTGAAATCAAAGCCTGACGGCTTGATGGAAAAAAACAAACCACTTAAGGGGCCTCCATTTGGCTCGCCTTTCATCCAGGTTGACATGTTTTAGATCAGAATGTTTGGACACTTGCTCTTTGTACAAGTTTGGAAAGAATTTCAGGTAGAACGGCACAAAGTTTTCGGCAGTTTCTGGAACGAACAGTTCTTTGGAAAAGAGATTTGCGAAAACAATTCAGAAATGAATAACATGTAACATATATAATTTCAATGGACAATTCTAGACCTTTGTGTGACTAACCATGTGCAACTTCGGTAGACCCCCATAATATAAACCATATTTTGCCCAAAAGACACATTTACCTTTTCTGACTTCAAGAGCAAAGTACTTGCACGCAGTGCAAAATGCTTATTCAGTGCTGCAAGCAAGCACAGTATTTTTTACAAGTTAGACGAGTCCTCTTTTTATAGACTTTTCACAGCTGGTCAGCAACAGTTTTCCAACAAGTAATTTGCAAATTCTCCATCTCTGCCTTTCAAACAGAAAGTTTTATTGGAGGACACAATGAGTGAGTGGCTCCTCTTTTCCAGGGGTCAAAACAAGTCAATTCATTCATAAATCCTGTTGTTGGGTTTGTCCAATGACAGCAAATCCTACAACAGCATACTAAACAAAAAAAGTCTGCAAACCTTTGCTTTGTATTCCCGTCCCAGTTCTTTCAATGTGCGCTTAGCAACAGCCACAGGTCTGTGGATACCAATGCCACCAGCTATGTGGGAAAACAGAAAAAAGAGAATTGCTTTAATGTGTGAATTGAGATTCAATGTTAAACAAAATACATTTTAATCGCATAAATGATGTTATGATGGAAAATATTGCTTACATGGTGTTCCGAGAATGTCCTACCTAATGGTTGAAATTTTGCTAGTTTAATTGCGTGTAATAACGTAAAAGAATCTCTCTGTTGAAATCTAATGAAACTGAAGAAAGGATCGACGTATGAGATCTTGTAGGGTGAGTATTTGTGACAGCAGAGCAAGGCCTTACTTTTAAAAGAGCCAAAACTTTCCTATGCAGGGTGCGTTGTCCATGCCTATAGATCTGTAAGGTCCATCAAACCTTACAGACTGGAGGCAGTCATGCCATATCGAGGATTTCCGGTCACATGATTTTTATGGTCAGCGTTTAATTATCCGGATGTGGATAACATTCTGGTGTACAGGAAACTGCCAATAGAAATACACAGATTCGAAAGTACACATGCCTCCACAGACATGGTACGCTTCCTGAAATGTCTTTGCCAGATATGTTACAACGCGTAACATATCATGTGTTTATTCCTCTTGTTCCACCACAGGCTTGACCACAGGCTTGACCACAGGCTTAGATATAGGCTTGACTACAGGCTTCACCACAGGCTTAGATATAGGCTTGACCACAGGCTTAGAGATACGCTTGACCACAGGCTTAGATATACGCTTGACCACAGGCTTGACTACAGGCTTGACCACAGGCATGACCACAGGCTTAGATATTAGATACAGGCTTGACCATAGGCTTGACTACAGACTTAAATAAAGGCGTGACCACAGACTTAGATATAGGCTTGACCACAGGCTTCAGATACATACATGTACTTGACCACAGGCTCATGGCCACAGATTTCACAGACCCCCAGCAGTGTGGCCTTTTTGTGTAATGTTGGGCTGAAGTCCGTTAGCATTTGTACGTGGGTTATTCTATAAATTTGGGGTGCAAAGTGTGACATTTTTCCGTCCCTGTTACCTCTGACATGTATACCATCTGAGAAGTTTGACAAGGGATGTATCACTGAAACTGATATCAAACTATTGTTATTTGACTCACAGATAATTTGCAGTACTAATTCAGGAAATTAAGCAATGAGTTTTAAACATTACAAATCAAATGCCAGACGTAACAGGGACATGTTTGTCTGAAACATTCTTCCACATGCTTTCTGTGGAGGTTTCCTCAACATGGTCAGCTGACATGGTACTATGTCAACTGACATCTATCAACCAATCAACAGCCTGTGGAAGATTTCTGCTTCATGTGACATCAAAGTTTCTAAAGTCAACTCATACTGGCTAGTAAGCAGGGTCAGATGGAGTTTGCAGGTTCCCATGTATTATTAATACATTGTTTCACTGCTGCAGTGATCACTCTAATCACTTTATCATATGATCTATCAGACACTGCGATTGGTTCTCAAAATTCAAACGATTTTGGCTCGTCTCCAACGTTGTCAACAGAAAATTTGTGGAAACACCAGATGACACCGAGACTTGGGGGTGGGGAAACACAGATCCTGTTGGCCACTTATGATGAAAATAGACTACGTGAATCTTTGGTCTGCTCTACTCAGTTTATTCTGTTTCCTTTAATGTATGTGTAGCCGATGCATTGTGGGTACAAATATAAAAAATGACAACCCCCCTAAAAAATTACTCTGAAATTGCCTGCATCCAGTTATGTCTCATTTTGCCAGAATGCTTCACAAATCACGCTGACGAACGTGTCATTTCATTATTGATCCAACGATCATTTTGAGCTTTGCGTGTACATTGTACACGTACCTTGGTATTTTCTGGGCGTTTCGTTCTCATCATCACTCACGCTGAGGTCCTCAACTTTTCTCTTCCGGCCGGCCTGTGGGAGGAAAGGATTAGCGAGTCTGGTGATATTGGCATCATCAAATGTGGTGATACATGGCATGTGATTATGTGTGGGGGGAGAACTGGAGGCAGATCTTTGGTCAGTGCAACAGTCAACAGGCTGGATGCGCTACACAAAGAATGAATGTTGAATCCACAATGCACATGTAATGATATGAGTTTATGAGGTGACAGACAGAAAGTTTCAATCCACAAGCGAAGTCAAATGACTGCGCATATGGACGGATGGAATATTCATTAACTTTGCCTGCGATATGAAATGTCCCATTTTTGCAGTGTAGCCATGCAAAGCATCGGGATGAATGATTTGCGACACATGATCAATGGTCTATGAATCAGATTATCAGGGATAAATGAAGGCACCACCGCTGTACTAATTGTGCTGGAATGATCTTTTTCACAAGCCCCCAGACAACACTGAGTATACAGTACTCATAAGTAACCATCAGTAGAGGGCAAAAGACCGAATATATACCGGGAGCCAGTATACTTTCTCAAAATTCATTTGAACAGACTGCGGCTCGAATTGAGACTAGTCACTGGCAGTACACTAATCTGACAAATGGAATGGCTACTGCAGTAGTACCATGTTTGGTGGGGACACAATGCTCCAGCAATACCTGAAGTTACAGCCTTAGCATGTGTGCCAGGTACCGAGTTATAAACGGTTTCCAACAGCCTCTCTCGCCTTTGTCAGTGGGGGAGGGTAGTTTTTACACATAGCAGATAGCAATGATATCTAATATGACTTGGTGAATTCTCTGTACAGTCGAAGCCAAGATGTTGCCATTTTCAGGCCCTCCCAAACCTTTCTTGTTGCCAGCTCTTCCTCCATCAGTTCCTCCAGGTCATCCATCACCTCCAAGTCTTGCTTCTGGCCGGCACGCTTCTTTCCTATCTTGGCTCCTTCTCGTCCCTCCTCCTTTTCCTCTGGCTCAGCGATGATGAGACGGCCATCCGGCATAGTCTTAAAGTTGTGCCTGACCCCTGTGGAGGGCTTGTTTGACTTCTCATCAGGCTTGGTGGCTTTTTGGCGGAATAAAAAAAAAATTAAATAATTACAGATATTAGAATAAATGACTGCATAATGGATAAGATGGCTGGTTATTAAACAGATTGACAGAGCTGAATACAAATACTCAGTTGCATGCCTGTGCATAAAAAAAGAATTTCTAAAGTAGACTATTAAAGGCACTTTTTTCACAGGTACATGCAAGTGTGGTCTATTACCGTGTGGTCCAAAACTGTGACATTTTTTGGTGTCGCCGTTACACCTGACCTGTGGAACCTGACATGGAACTATCACTGAAATTGACTTCAAACAATATTCATTTGTTTGACAGGTAATTTGCAGAACTTGTATGTAACTCTACAATTGAAATCACCCTTGAAAAATAATGGATTTTTTCTCAAAAACACTTCAGATGTGACTAAAGCACAACAAACAAATGGCCCCAAATTATAAACCGTAGAATGACCAATGTAGGAATTCTATAAATGTTCCATGGACTGAGTATTTGCAACACACCAAAATATTCAAGGGTGCTATTTGTATGTAGGACATATTTGACACTTTTATACATTATCATTCCCTTCACATGTGCATACTCGATCCACACAAACCAGAAGAACCCTGCATTCATCGACAGGTTAACAGGCTTCAATGCTTTGTAAACAGCGGCTGTTTCAATTTAAAAAAATGATTTTGTTTCCAGTTTAGAGACATAAAACGACCCTTCATTCATACATTCAAGAACTATTCATTTGAGGAACTTAATCATTTTACCCAACCGTACTCACTTTGACTTCAGTCGTTACTAAGACAAAACAGTGAACTTCAAAGATCTTCAAGTTAAGCCATGTTTCCACTGCGCTTTTCCTTCCACGGCCACATGGAAACTTTACTGCAACATTCCTTTATTTAACCCTTCTGCGCATTCCCACTTGAACATGTTTTAACCATAACGGATTTACGGAACGTTTATTCACTGTGCGAGAAGAGCTAAATGTCACATGTTGCAAGCACTGTGCAAACACCTTTAACCTGAGCGGGATGTGACAAAATTGGCAAAATCTGATAAATTCAGCCAATTCTGCCACATTTTAAGTGTCAACTGATTGAACTAAGCATGACATACACCTGCATGTGTCTATGCTTTTATCTGGTTATGCTTCACTGTATGTGAGCACCATATGCTGGTGTGCGGTACGCAAGGAAACTGGGAACCATACAACCATTTTCACGCACCTGCTGTCGATCTCTGTGTAGTGGTGAGCTGTCCTGTTTTGAGGTTTACAGCATATTTGTGATAAATCTGCATCATAGAGCTGTTCCCACTGGACTTTTTAGAGACCCTTTTACCTTACCGTGGAAAGATTATGCAACCACTTTTGGTCTGGTAGTTTAACATCTAGGTCATGGTAAATTGACAGGAACATCAGTTAACCGCTATCCCCACTGGATTCAATTTTTGTCACTCTAGTACAGTAACTTAACCGAAAAAGTCCAATACCAAGTACTCTCTTGGAGACACTGGGATCCAGGAAGTCAAGGGGTGTGTCCTCCTGCTGTCCTTCCTTCAGCCAGGCTGCCCCCTGCTTACTGGCCTGTTGCTTCTTGCTCTTACGTCCTTTGACCTTCTGACCTTTACCCTTGGCTTTCTCTTCCTCCTCATCTGTTTCAGACTCAGAGTCCTGCAGTAGCTCATCAATACTGTGCAAAAACAAAATTTCTAAAATCATCCCCACTTTGGCAAAGCGATTCGCTACAACCCAACTTTGCACCTCCATGTGACAATGCAGCTTTTGCTTTCCTATGTCCTTCTGAGCAGAAGACAAAAATTTACATGTGCGATACACACTCTTTTTATAGGGGAGTGTTGTGCCAAGATAGATAGGGACCGATCTGGGAGAGCTGAAGCTAGCAAGGCACCCACAAGTATGCTCCCACTGGCCCTAAGCATCAAGCGAGGTACTCACGTCTCTGGCTTGGGCTTGCTAGGCATCAGGGCTGGGGCTTCATCGCCCTCCTCCTCTTCGTTGTCGTCTCCACCTCCGGATTGCCTCTCCTTCATGGCCCTGTGTCGCTTGGTTCTCTCCTGTTTCTTCTTGATGTTTTGTACCATCTTTTTGTGGTCTTCCAGAACCAGCTTGTAAATCATCTCATATCTGTTTGAGGTTGACAGTACATCCCGATTGTTGTCAATTTGCCCCCATTCATCTGCCTTTTGTTCCATTTCCTCAGAGCACTCAAACCCACCTTTAAAAAGGTACATATAGTTATTCCCCCGTCCCCTGACA